TGCATGTGGATGTTTTAGTCGAGCTTCCTCATATGCATCTATAATAAAACATCACATTGTTGTTAACCTCCCGTAAAGAAAAGTTCAAATCCTGAAATACTATCAAAGTTAATTAATGCATATAATACCTATAGTGTAAATAATCAGTACACAGAAGGTTGCACAAGATTTATTCGGAGATTCATGCAGAGTGACAGCCTTATGAATCTGAGACATAGATTTGTAAGATGGCCAAGCACATGCATTATTCTGTACCCATGAAGATTAACCTACCATTGTGAAAAATGTTTGATGATGATAGCCAATAACAATAGACCATTTCAGCTGTTTGTGAAGCAATTAGTAATGTAATGTCTGAAAAGCTCAATTTATGTTGAAAATGTATCAGCAGTTTACAGCTTATAATGGACTTTTAGCACACAACTATAACATGCCTGTTCACGTTCAAAAGAGTGTGCCATTGACTTCTTTGGTCGTGATGTACTGCAAAATGATCTCACTAACCTTTGTTAAACAAGAACAATGAGACTTAACCAACAAATATTGTTACCCATTAATTTAAATCAGAATTTATCACCGTCAATAACATAAAAAACAAACAAAAAAAACATCAAAATCTGCTTTAAGACGTTCAGTTTTACATTAACTGACCATTACAGCTTGAACAAAAGATATAATTGATTCACATAGGCTAACACATATGAATTAAAGTGCATAGTAATATATTTCTCTTGGATAATTTAAAGAGAATAGTAAACAGTCGAGTTTCGATCACTTTTCGTGACTAACTGCATAAACAAGATAAACAATAATATCTTATTAATCCAAAACGATTAGTTTTTATTTACACAATCACAGAATTAATACTGTTGGATAAGTTGTACGCCTGTACAATGATTTTTTTCAACATCCACGGTACTTTATAATGTTAAATCAGGAAAAAAAACACGTTGCCATGTTAGTTAATGGATTCGTCTACAGAAACTTTCTTTAACGCAAAGTTAGCATACACACAAATTCGTTTCATGTTTCTTTAAAATAATTAAAATAGTTTTCAGTTACTACACACGTTACAATCTAACATTGTGTTAAAGGAAAATTAACTTCCAGGCGTGTTTGTAACTGTTAGCGTTAGCATACATTAGCTCCAGTCGTGTTTCTTAAAGCAAGTTACATTTCGTATTAAACTGTTTTAAATTACTAAACGCTGTTACAACCAAACACCGTGGAAATGTTTTAAGCTCTAAATTCGCTAATTATACATTACACAAGCAGTAAAAAGCTTACCTTTCTGACCGGAATTCACGTGAAGTCTTTAAAAAAAAAAAACTTTTTCTTCTTGTGATCTTCGTGCCATGGTGGTTGACAACCAGCTTTTTGGAGCATTACCGCCACCGTCTGGATTGGAGTGTGGATCATGAGTTTAGTCACGCATGTGTTTATTATGAAACCAACTTCTGCTTTGAAAAAAAAAACAGTCAGCACAGGAGCGTGCTATCTCAAAAATAAGCGAATTTTACATAGTTTTTCTCTAGATGACATGTATAATCTATTTATAAATAATATTGTTTTGTTTGCGTCTAAACATTGCGAACATCCACACTAAATATTCTCTTTTTTTTGCTTTCGTACCATGAATATTTTCTCAAATTATCATTAAACGTGGAGCTAACAGATTACTAGATAAATAAAGGACTTAATCGGTTGCCATCAGCCTTAATCGGTTGCCATATGGTTGACCGGAATCGGGCCAGTGCTTTACAGCCGCATCACAACCGCATGTGCGCGAGCGAGCTGCGGGCCGCACTCGGCCCGGATAACACTCGCCGATGCCGAGTCGGAGCCGGAGGCGCCGGAGGGCAGCCGAGCTCGGGCCGATTACTGCCTGCTATCTGGGAGTGGTTTCTTCATCTGTATCGGGTGTCTGTTATGTTATATGTTTATCGCTGCTTTAGTGAATTAGCAGCGGCGCCCACTTGATTTGCTCAATGAAGAGCTTCAGTGTCTGGCGTGGGTGTTTTTATCTCTCTCCAGCAGCACTGATAGCCGAGTCGAGATTGAATGAACTCTCATGGCTCTTCCTGTCCAGAAGAAGCCCACGACGTCTGCCCTCCAGATACAGATACACACTATCAGTTTCTCCGGCTTAGTCTATTTATTCCATCAAGAATCGCTCTAACATTTTCTTTGAGTTTGGGATTGAAGAACAGATTAGGTTGCTGTCTTTTGCAATTATATTAATAACATTAACCTTTCTAATTTTGCTTGTTATGTAATACAATTCTGCACCTTGCAGAAGTGTTTTTAAACCATACTATAGCTGTGCATTAGACTGTTTATATATTATATTATTTACGACTGTTACTGAATTCTGGAGCTTACTGTGATTGTAGGAAACTGCTAAACTAATGTAGTATGCTTTAGTTTTTACTACAGTAAACGTTGTGGTGAAAACTGGTATTGTGTCATTTGTTTATATGGCTATAGTTGTTGTGTTACCATAACAAATGTATAATTACCACAATAGATTAATTACAATACTTTCCTATCAAAAACACCACAGTATTTGCTATAAAATACTTTAGCATTTTTTATAAGGCTTCTTTTTAGAAGGTGCAATAAAAAAATGTGAGCCTCAGGTGTCTTCATAATGTCACAATATGTCTTGGATGATTAATTATTTCATATATCCTGTTTTTTGGGGGGTGGAAGCAGTAACATGCTGTTTCTGTATGTGTTGTTTTAAATGTAAATGAGCTGTTGCTCCCCACCCCCTTTACAGAATTGGGTGGAGCCTTTACAGCCTTTAGCTCAGATACTCTTTACAACTAACTACACATATGTGTTTTAAAGCCTGAAAGCTGACTAAACAAAAAGCAGGCAAAAAGTACTATTGTAATTTATAGTAAATACTGTAGTGTTTTTGCCAATAGTTGAAATAATCTGTTGTGATTACCGTTGCTGTGGTAATACGACAACTATTGTAGTATATGCAAATTATCCAATACAATAGGTATATTATACTGCGTAACAGCATAATTTACGGAACAAAAATCTAAAGTATGCTACAGGATTTATTACAATTTATGTTTACTATACATCAGGGGCGTCGCTAGACCCCATTTACGTGCCCAGCGCCCCGGTAAATGCTTTGAGATACGATTTACTTTATATGCAAGTGTCTAGGGCGACACACAACAGATTTTATAAAATATCTTTTTTTCTATTGAATTGTCTATAGAATTTCATTCTAAGAAAATTAATATTTATCCGCGAAAAATTTCTTAAATTATCTTAGCATCACTCCAGTTGTGACTTTAAATTATTTTCTAGAGACATTAAGGATTAATTTTTGTTATTTATTTAGAATAACAATTGTATAATAACAATAGCACTACTATTTATTTATAGCCTACTTATAATTTTTTGTTTTAGAATTAGAAGTTATTTACCCAACACTGTTTTACTACACATTTTGCTAGTGCAATTTATTGCATATATATATATATATATATATATATATATACATGCTTAAATAGGCAATAAATTGCTTTTAAAAGTAATTAAACCCAACAACGTTTTACTACAAATCTTGCTCCTTTTTTGATGGGATTTATTTAAATTTCAGATAATGTGTTGTCTTTTCTCAGGACATCAGACAAAACATTTAATAAGATATGCTTACAATTATAATAAGTTGGATTTAAAAGAAGGCCTAACTTTTCCCACCACTGTTCATAACAGATATGGCTTGACCCCATCCCTACAGACATTGTGACGTCATTTATCAGGACATAAGTCAAAGCCTTAAAGATTTAGATATGTTTCGGATATTGATTGGAACAAAAAATAGGGCTCATCCCAAATAACTAATTACAAATAAGATAAAAGAAGTTTCATTCAGAATTATTCACCGTACATACCCAGTCAATACTCTTTTAGTAAGATATAAAAAAGATATTAATATTAATTGTTCATTTTGTGGGCAGCACCCTGAGTTCACTTATTTTGGCAATGCAATTACTCTAGGTTGCTTTGGAAAGACTTCTCACTTTTTATAATTGAGAATGTTGATGAGGAATTTTCCTTGCTGTGGGAGACTGTTTTGTTTGGTTTTGTTGATTATGGAACGAGGGCTTTACATAAAAAGAAAACATATATTCTCACTTTTGTATATTAATAAAAAATAGAAAATTAATTAAAGATTTAGATATGCTTACGATTATAATATATTACTTTTAATAGTAACTTTACCCAACACGTTTATCACAGATATGGCTATAAATCCCGTCCCTTTTCGGCGGGAATATTTAAGATATTGTGACGACCTGTTCACGGACGTCAGTTTAAAAGCATTTGAGGCATTTTGGTAAACGGAAAACGCCATTTGAAGACACGTTGGACTGTATCCTTGCAGTTTAGGCTTAAACAGCCACATTACACACTAAAGGAAAGTGAAAGTGTAAAATGCCTAAAGGCAGCTCTTGTGTGAGCGGGAGTGAGGCCATGTTATGAGGTGAGATGTAATGTATTTGCACTTCTAAATGTGTGAGTCACGTGATATTTAGATAACGGGTGGAGCAAACGCCGCTGACAAGCCTAAATATTCACATTTAAGTTTAATACACATTTAAGTTTAATCGTGTTCAGATTATGTTTTAACACCTTATAAAATCACATGGGTGGATGATTTATCTCGTTTATAAGCCTCTTGACTGTTTGCCTGATGCCTAAAATCGCTAAAGGGGAAAAAAGATTAAAATAAATAACCATATCTAATCGATGAGAGAATGTTTATAAGTCCTTCCAGAGCTCTGTTTTAATTTTCAGTATAAATGGTTTGAAACCATTGTGCTAATGCTGTTTTAAATGGTTTTGCTGACATCTAGTGGAGAAGTAGCGCAATGATGGTGTCTGGTAAAAAAGTGCTGTAATGTGGAGACTTATTCAAGGAACTTGTTTAATTACTTAATTTAATGATTTGTTTTCTTCTCTTGCAGACACAATGGTCCTTGTTTTGTTCCTATCAGTAACAACTCCACAGGTCACAACCAACGCAACAGAGAACAATCATGGTAAGCACTTATTATTTAGGTTTAACATCAATGATAATTCTACTACTAATAATATTAATAACGAAAATAATGTTTTTCTCTGCAAGTCCTAAACTTAAGAAAACCAATAAATAAATCATTAATAAAAAAGAATCAGTATTATAATATGGTTTTATTAATTGCATTTTGCGGGCGACACAGTTGCTCAGCGGTTAGCACTGTCACCTCACAGCAAGTGTCGCTGGTTCCAGTCCCAGCTGGGTCAGTTGGCATTTCTGTGTGGAGTTTGCATGTTCTCCCCGTATTGATGTTAGTTTCCTCCGGGTGCTCCAGTTTTCAAACACATGCGCTGTAGGTGAATTGAATAAACTGAATTGGTCGTAGTGTTTGCATGTAAGTGAGTGTGTGGGTGTTTCCCAGTACTGGGTTGCGGCTGGAAGGGCATCCGCTGTGTAAAACATATGCTGGATAAGTTGGCAGTTCATTAAGCGACCCCTGATGAACAAAGGGACTAAGCCGAAGGAAAATGAATGAATGAATAATTGTTTTCTTATCATTTCTATATTTTTATATATCTGTAGTAGATATAGTTGCATAATTATGGACCATTTTCACAAGCCTGATAAGACACGTTTAACTGCCATCATAATCTTAAATCCTTGAAAGTGTTTAATATTTAGATTTTTTTTAAAACCTATAAACATTTATGTGTATTTATGAATTACAGTATATTATCTTTTGCGCCAAATTACAAAAAAACGAATTACTGCTTATGCGAGGTGTTTCTGATGCAGCGTATCTATCTATCTATCTATCTATCTATCTATCTATCTATCTATCTATCTATCTATCTATCTATCTATCTATCTATCTATCTATCTATCTATCTATCTATCTATCTATCTAACAACAAAAAATAAGGTCAAGAATCTTGGTGTGACTCTGGAGTCAGATCTGAGTTTCAACAGTCATCTCAAAGCAGTTAGTAAATCAGCATACTATCATCTCAAAAACATAGCAGGAATCAGATGCTTTGTTTCCAGTGAAGACTTAGAGAAACTTGTTCATGCTTTTATCAGCAGCAGGGTGGATTACTGTAATGGACTCCTCACTGGCCTTCCCAAAAAGACAGTCAGACAGTTGCAGCTCATCCAGAACGCTGCAGCCAGAATTTTGACCAGAAGCAGAAAATCAGAGCACATCACACCTGTCCTCAGGTCTCTACACTGGCTCCCAGTTTCATTCAGAATAGATTTTAAAGTATTATTACTGGTTTATAAATCACTAAATGGCCTAGGACCTCAATACATTACAGATATGCTCACTGAATACAAACCCAACAGATCACTCAGATCTTTAGGATCATATAAACTAGAAGTTCCAAAAGTTCAGTCAAAGCAGGGTGAATCAGCTTTCAGCCACTATGCCCCTCGCTGCTGGAATCAGCTTCCAGAAATGATCAGATGTGCTCCAACATTAGGCACGTTCAAATCGAGACTGAAAACACATCTGTTTAGCTGTGCCTTTACTGAATGAGCACTGTGCTGCGTCCGACAGATTGCACTATTATGTTTTTTCTCTTCTTCTTCATTCTTTTATATCATATTTGACCTGTTTTTATGTTTTTTAATCAGTTTTATTATTTGTTTTTATTTATTTTTTAATTTACTATTTTTTTACTTTCTTTTATTCTTGTTTATGTAAAGCACTTTGAAACTTGCCTTGCCTTATCTATCTATCTATCTATCTATCTATCTATCTATCTATCTATCTATCTATCTATCTATCTATCTATCTATCTATCTATCTATCTATCTATCTATCTATCTATCTATCTATCTATCTATCTATCTATCTATATATATATACATATATGACATTTTTAAATATATAGTAAATTATAATATTTTTATATACCTATTTTTAATTTAATGTATATTATATATCTGGTAAATATCTGTTAACTACAACTTTTAATAATTTATTTAAATTAAATGATTTAGTAATCATAAAATGATTACTGAATGAGTAGGCATTACTCACAAACGACTGGAAAAGTCATGGAAACTCTGTGGTCAGGTCTGGTTTATAGTTGAACAGCATTTATCAGCATTTCTGCATCATGTGTTTGGTGTGGATTTGTGTTAAATCTGCCATGGATTACGCAGCCTGTGATTTTGGGCCTCAGTAAAGTGCTGATCGCAGGCTTTAGTGGGTGATTCCTGTCAAACCTGCTGTTAAATGAATGAGCGATGCTTATCGGCGCAGTCAAAACAGCACCAGGCTCTCTATTAAATCACTAATAATGCCTTGGACTTGACTGTCTGCCATCCCTCACTTAAAGCAGCTCAGTGTGGCCATTCCGGCTCCAGCGGCTCTGTTCGCAGGCCAGTTTCCTGTTCTTTTGTTCACTGTGGGTTTAACTGCCTCTCCTTCTTCCTTTAGGGGACCCGGGGCCGTTCAACACACACATCCTGTCCATATTGCTGGGGCTCTCCGTTTTGCTGCTTTTTCTAGGGTTGCTGACCTGGTATTGCCTCAGGTATGGCACAAATACACACGCACACACACACAAATACAGTGAGCCTGTCATGCCCACAAGCTCCACCCCTTTCTGATTAAAGGGAGGAGACAGGAACTGAGGCATGCTGTCACACACATACACATATTTATTCATACACTGTTGTAGCAAAGCCGCAGATTTGTGTGTGTGTGTATGTGTGCGTGGTTCAGGTGGTAGAGAGAGTGTGTGTGTGTGTGTCATTTTGTGAAGAAACAGATGAAAAAAAGCTCGAGTTTTCGTTGGTGAGATTGAGTTAAGATTGCGATAGCGTCCCGCATGTTGTCTAGTCTTGATCGGTGTGACCTTTTTGTTTGTCTTCTCAGGTTGAAAAACCAGAGGAAAGCTGTCATCACAGCCGTGGATAAGAAAGTGCCTAATGGCATCCTGGAAGAGCAAGGTAAACTGATTTTCTTGTGTTTGTGACTTTAGGATTTGATCAGAAAGCACAGTAAAGCTATCGGTTATCATTTTTTGGAACGGGATGCGAAGTGTTGTGGCAAGTTTCACTTTATCTGATCTGCTTTTTTTGGCTTCCTGTTGTCTCGAGATGCTGTATGTCGCGTGAAGTGAGCAGAGGGTTTTTTTTTGTTTTGTGTGTGTGTGGTACATGTGTTATTCAGTCTGCAATGGCTGAATAACAATGTTAAAGTCATTTTATTAATGATTATGGGTAATATTTAAGCTGTTATGGGGGTTTTGCGTGGTACACGTGTTATTCAGTATCAGTATACAATGACTGTAATTGTATTTAATATTTTCTTAATATTTATGGGCTATAGTGAAGTTCTTATGTTGTTTATTATGGTTATGTGTTATTCAGAATCAGTATGCGATGACTGAAATTGTGTTAATAAGTCTTTTTAATGGTTATGGGTGATTTTGTAGTTGTTAGGGTGTTTTTTTTTGTGTGGTACACGTGTTATTTAGTCTATAATGACTGAATAACAATGTTAAAATCATCTTTTCAATGAATATGGATAATATTTTAGGCAAGGCAAGTTTGTTTATATAACAGATTTTATACACAGTGGCAATTCAACATGCTTTATATAAACAGGAACAAAAGAGACAAGTATAAGAAAATAAAAAACAGGTAATAAGCCTAATTTAAACAGATATAAAAATGGTTAAAACAGATATAAATGTAGTTAAACAGATATTAAAATGGTTAAACAGATATAAAAATGGTTAAAACAGATAGCTGTTATGGGGTTTTGTATGGTAATGTGTTATTCAGAATCAGTATACAATGACTAAAATTGGGTTAAATTAATCTTTTTAATGGTTATGGATGATTTTGTAGTTGTTAGGGTGTTTTTTGGTGTGGTACACGTGTTATTTAGTCTACAATGACTGAATAACAATGTTAAAATCATCTTTTCAATGAGTATGGATAATATTTTAGGCAAGGCAAGTTTGTTTATATAACAGATTTTATACACAGTGGCAATTCAACATGCTTTACATAAACAGAAACAAAAGAGACAAGTATAAGAAAATAAAAACAGGTAATAAACATAATTTAAACAGATATAAAAATGATTAAAACACAGCTGTTATGGGGGTTTTGTTTGGTACACATGTTATTCAGTATCAGTATACAATGACTGTAATTGTGTTTAATATTTTCTTAATATTTTTGGGCAATATTTTAGTTCTTATGTTGTTTTATATAGTAATGTGTTATTTGGAATCTGTATACAATGACTGAAATTGTGTTAAATTAATCTTTTTAATGGTTATGGGAGATTTTGTAGTTGTTAGGGTGTTTTTTGGTGTGGTACACGTGTTATTTAGTCTACAATGACTGAATAACAATGTTAAATTCATCTTTTCAATGAATATGGATAATATGGTAATGTGTTATTCAGAATCAGTATGCAATGACTGAAATTTTGTTAATAAGTCTTTTTAATGGTTATGGGTGATTTTGTAGTTGTTAGGGTGTTTTTTGGTGTGGTACACGTGTTATTTAGTCTACAATGTGTTAAAGTCATTTTCCTAAAGATTATGGGTAATATTGTAATTGTTATGGTATTGTGTGGCACACATGCTATTCAGTATTAGTATACAATGACCGTGTAATTGTTAAAATCATCTTTTTAGTGATTATGAGTAATATTTTAGTTGTTATGGCGTTTGATATGGTAAAGTTGATATGGTAAAATGATCAGAATCAGTATACAATGACTGTAATTGTGTTAAAATACTTTCTTAAGGATTATAGGTAGGGCCAGACAGAGACGTTTTTTGTTATTTCTGCACAGAATTTCGTAAATAAATCTGCGGCTATATACGTAATGATTTTGGTAGTATTGTAACTAAAAATGTAATATATAAAATATTTGACCTTTTAACATTTTATTTAATGTAAATTAAATTTATTTAATTTAATGTTTACATTGCAAACAGATCCACTTATTTGCTAAACAATGCATGTCTCTCATATAATACATCTACTAAAACACAGAAAATATTACTTTACAAACTGTAGTGTAAATAAATTGAATTAATGTTTTCATATTAGTCAATAGCATTACTGAAATTAATTTAGTCTACACTAAAAACTGAATAAATATAAATTAACACATAGTTACACAAGTAAATAAATGGACTCAACAATGGGCTAAGACTCTCTAAATTTATGCACGCAGATTCCATGTGGGCCTAATTATGGGTTCTGTTTTACAGTTGTTGTTAAAGTACTGATGATGATTGCTCTTTAGAGATAACTATTTACTAGGAGCATGTCTATGGTGTCGATTTGGATTAGTCAATTAACTTAGGTTGCATGTTTTTGGACGGTGGGAGGAAACCAGGGAACCCGGGGGGAACCACACGTGAGCATGGGGAGAACGTGTAAACTCCAAACAGAAACGTTAGCTGGCTTGGTAAGGACTAGAACCAGTGACGTTCTTGCTGTGAGGCAACAGTGCTAACCACTGGGCCACCGTGCCATCCATCTAGGAAAGGATGAGGAGCAGGGGTGGAAGGAGGGATTCTTTAAAATGAAGATTGCTGTCATATGGAACTCAGGGTATTTATAGGGGCTTAGGAAGCGTCTGATTGGTGGATAATAAATTGAATAATGCAGGACCAGCTGCAAGCAATCATAAGCTTGTAATCCTCTCGAATATAGTTTCTAAATAAACTTCACAAAAAAATCAGAAAGGTGCTAATAATTCTGACTTCAACTGTATATAGACACACACACAAACACACACACACAATATATATATATATATATATATATATATATATATATATACATACACACACACACACACACACAAAATAACAAAATATTTAAAAAAAATATCAAAAAAATATATATCTTAAAGGGGCTAATAATTATGAATTATTAAAAAAACTGCTTTTATTCTAGCTAAAATAAAACAAGTAAGCACTCACACTATACTTTCCGAACCGTGCCCAGACTCGTTTTCCGGATTGTTTGAGAAGTGTGAGTGCTCTGAATTGGGCTCGGGTACAGATCAGTTGGACAAATTATTAATAAAAAATTTAAGATTTTTTATTTTTTTATTTCTTATTATGGTTATGCAAAGGTAACACAATAATTAACAAACTTACATTTTTACTAAATAATTATATTTACTCTTTAATCAACTTTTATCTCTCTCTTTAAATATTTACATTCATTCTACATTTAATCGGCAAAACAAAGAATATTCTGACACATTTCTAATTTAGGATCAGTTATCATAATATTAAAAGTGTTGAATGTTGTTGCGTGGATACAGAGCTGTAAAGGGGAAACACAACACTTTGTAGTTATTAATATTTCCTCAAAAAAAAAAAAACAAATTCAAACATGACTAAATCAATGTGAAAGAGGAAGAACGCTTCTTTTTTAAACAACTGTTCCTGTTTGCTTTTATTAGAGTTTACTTGAATTAACAGAAAAGCTGTGGCTCACGGTTAGCCATATGAAAGCCCATGTTTCTTAGACACCGATCAGATTAAACAGAGCTCAAACTGAGACTAATCTCCTCTAGATGATCTCAGATTTGACTAAATGATAAAATTTCAGTTTTTTGGGAGCTAAATCCCTCTATAAAGAGACCTTTTTTTGTGCCAGAGATTATGTTCCCTGTCAAAGGGTTTACAGATTTATGTAATGGACTTCCTCTGCTCTCTTTCTCCTAATATCCTGACGGAAATCTCTCTCAAGGAATATTTTGTGAGCCAAACGACACACTTCAAGCATGCAGTCGATAAGACTTTAGCTTGTGTTCAAACCACAACATTCAGTAAAATAGTTTTTGGCATTCAGCGGTAAATGTAACCTTTGTAGAGGAAGTGGTTTGACTTATTTTCAGCTCTCAGAGCCACCTTTGTCTGCTTGAATACTACACTAGGATTTAAATGATTATTTCCTGTACAATATATTGTTTTAAATGACAAAAGCATCAATAATAAGACATTTTGTTTGACCTTTTTGACATCAACAGTTTCAAAGTGAGGTCATTAACATAAATTAGCATATTTAAAAAGCTACTCAAACTAAAAATCCTTATTGTAAAGTGTGACCATAAGTCATTTCGTTTACATTTTTTGACATAAAACATTTCAAAGTGGAATAAATAACATAAATTAGCATATTTATTTAATATATTTTATAGTGTATACGAAATGCTACAACTACATTTTTATATACCCATAAAACACATGACACTGGATTTCAGGTTAAACTAAACTTTTGTTTTGACATGTGTTTACTTAATTTTTATTTATTTATTTATTTATTTATTTATTTATTTATTATTATTTTAATGTTTGAAACATTCTGAACATTTGTGGAGATTGATTTCAGGAATTCAAACCCTCATATAGTGAGACCGATCATTTATTCATCTTCCACACTATTGAACACAATGGAAATTATACTGAAGAAAGTTTGAGGAAAAATAGCCATTTACTGCTATAGTAGAGCTGCACGATTCTGGCTAAAATGAGAACATCAATTTTTTCGCTTAAAATCAAGATCAAGATTTTCTCATGATTCTATAGATGTAAAATAAAGAGTAATATGAATAGGCCATTGTTATTGTCATTTCTCAAACATATGGTAAAACAGCACTAATAATATTATGTGTAAGTTTACTGTTGGTTAAAATGCAAAAAGTAGACTTTGAATGGTGGACTTAAATAGACTTTAGATTTGTCCTGGTCATTAATGCACAGTAAAGTGATGACATCAGAATACAATTATTCATAATTCTAAACTTAAACTATTATGTTTGAGACATGTGCTTGCCATTTTTCATTGCCAACATTATTAGACATTTTTTACTACTGGTAAAATCAGACATTTGTCATTATCAGATTCCCTCTTGCATTATATTTAACATTATATAGCCTAGAGTAAGTATACTGACACAGTTAAACATTTATTTCCATGCACAACACTCTGTGTTCGCTATGAAAGAAAAACATATTAAATGCTTGTCGTAATCATAACTCTAAAATGCGATATGATTATTTAAATGATGCGCATGCTTTCAGTTTCATTTTCACTGCCTAGTGCGGTTCATACTTCCAGCGCGGCTCCTAAACGATCACTCTGTGCCACAAACTGAATGTTATTTACAACTTTATTACCTGTTATTCACAGCCTATGCAGGTTCTGTTCACTAAAGTAGACGCGCGCACGTCTACCACAAAGTAGGGCGTGCGCCCGCCCTCTCTGTGGTAACTGCTCACAGTCAGCAGCTCACGTCATGTGTAATTTCGCAGTCGCGAATACATCATTACATTAAGACAGAAATTACATTTTTGGATGAATCATACCCAGACGGAATCTGCGCTCGCAGAATTTTGCAGATTTTCTGCAGATTTCCAGCCCATCATTATTTCTGTTCATTTACTTAATGAAATGTGGGTAAATCTATATTTATTCAGTTTTTATTCAGTGTTAATGCAGTTTTTTCCAACATTGTTTAGAATATACTGTTTTATGTTCAACAAAATCATTTAAAAATCATAAAGTGTGTGCAATTGGTGAGAAAATGTAGATTTTTTTTTTTTGTTTTTACATTTTTTTTTGGGGTGAACTATCCCAAACTATTAAAAAAAGTTGACAGCTTAAAATTGTAAGGCAACTTGCTGCACAGCTTTTTTGTGTTGACAACTTTTAACCCAAGCACACTCAAAAAAATGACTTTTGCAGCTTGTTCAAACTACTTATTTAAAATAAGTTGAAACAATGCATTTTTTATGGGTTGGGGGTACTTTGTTTTTTTTTAACTTAATTTAATTTTAAATTTTAAATTAACTAAAATTAATTAATACTTTTAATTAATTTTACTTTACAAACATGAAGTAATTGTGTGCAAACCAGCATTGTTTACAGTGTGCTGCACTTGACTCAAGTGATTTAAGTTGATTCAACCTAAGAAGCTCTGGAGCAAGTAGCCTTACAATTTTAAGTTGAGTCAATATTTTTACATTGCTTTAAGACTAAACTTTAAAAAAAACTTTACTTTCCATTGCCTTAGAAGTAACAAATTGATTTTTCTTAAGAAACGTAAGTAATTTAGTTGTACCTTAGAACTGTTAAGTTCACGTAACTTATTTTTTATAATTATGTGCATAGTTCATAATAATAATAATAATAATAATTCCTTACATTTATATAGCGCTTTTCTGGACACTCAAAGCACTTTACACATTTTTGGGGAATCTCCTCATCCACCACCAGTGTGCAGCATCCACCTGGATGTGACGGCAGCCATATTGCACACCACCTGATTGGTGGAGAGGAGACAGTGATGAAGCCAATTACAATAAGGGGGTGACTAATAGGCCATGATGGACAGAGGCCAGGGCGCAAATTTGGAGTTAACATACAAATTTTTATTGATTTTTAATGACCAAAACCTCGGTAATCACAACCTTGGTTTAACGTCTATATGTATGTGTGTGTTTGTGAATAGAGGAATATATAGATGTGGATGTGGATGTGGATATGGATATGGATATGGATGAGGATGAGGATGAGGATGATCTTGGCTGGCCATCAGAAGGTCTGGTATAAAGTATATGTGGTGTTATGAACAGATTTGGCTGTCTAAACTCTGTATCTAACAACTCGCCTTCTCTAACCTCTAATCCAGTGGTTGTGGGTTTCGTTTGGTGCTACGAGGGTCACCTGTGGCTTTCTTGTTTCAAATCGTTTGTATATGCCTATATTTTTAAAAAATATTCCTACAGTACGTGTCTTATATAAAAGCATGCTGAAACAAGATGGTGTTGGCATGTTTGTTTGGTTGTTTTTCTTGGTGAACAACTGTGATCAAATGTTTGACAGGATGTAGTTGTTAAAGAAGCGTTTTTTTTTTTTTTTTTTTTTTTTTACAGTCGGGTGTTAGACTTTATGATTGATTAAAATGTGTGAATTTGTGAATTCTAAATGACTGTTTACACTAATATCAAACCCAATCATATTGATTGATGATAGAGATCAAATCTATGTACACACCTCACCCAGATCTGCATAACTGTGTGTTCACACCGAAGGCGGCGAGAGTGTCAAAGTTCGCTCCGGCCACCCTGGCGACAACGCTGTCTGCCTTCACAGCTCCGCATTGAGAGCATCAAAATTTGTTACATTAATCTTACATTTAAAGAAAACACTGCAGCATATCTGCATATCTCACTTACATTCCCACATAAAAACATGGTTTCTAGCATGAAAATATTGTGCACTTTTTATCTAATTAATTTAAAAACGTAAGATCATATATCAAGATCATCATATGTCTGCAATATTCTGAAGTTGTTATAGTTAGCATGTAATAACATTAATGCACATCAGTAACTCTCCAGTAATTTTTTCAAATGTATGTTCCTGGAAGAAAACATCGTAAATAACTTGAAATCTGGCGACCGCAATAATCAAACCGTAGGGACCAACTGTGGTCGAAATCAACGCTTACAGGACTGTGTTTTCTGCAATCTTCTCAAGCAGTGGACTTCTACATTTTGATTGGTTGCCGCCGTACAGCGTCATAGCTCATTACCATAAAGTTGACTTGATTTCAAATATCCTCAACGTCCACACTGGCGAAGATGCACCGTGCTGCTCCTCACAGCTGATCGGTAAATTCTAGATTGGATACACGGCCGTCTGGAAGCACATCAATATAGCAGCATTTTTTATAACACTTTATAACAATATTTAATATTTTTACAGTACTGTCACGGTTAAGTTTAGGGTCGGGTGGGGTAGGCATTAAATAATACAATTTATTGGGGGATTTAATAGATAGCATAAATAATACTCTGTATAACTACTGTTTTTATGTTACTGTGACGGTTGGGGTCAGGGTTGGAATAGGGGTCGACAATAATAAAATACAATAAATGGGAAATTTAATAAATAATATCAACAATTCTTGTTAAATTTTGGCTGCAACCGTATCCGATGTAGCAACATACCAGCTTATCGCCGCTGGCTCCCATTGAAAATAAATGACTTTAGATTACTTTGATGCTCTACCCGCTTTCAGTGTGAACGCACGGTAACACACACAACACACACCAAAGATGAAATATAAATACAAAGTATTAGGTGTTAAGTGTAACAATTGTAATTTTTTTTTTTTAAACAAAGACATTGTTCCAAATATTGCTATAGCTAAATATATAAAGCAAGTTGAGATATTCACACAACACACACAAACACATAGACACACACCCCCACACACACACACACACACACACTCACTAAAGATTCATTCAATAATTTTCCTTCGGCTTAGTCTCTATTTCAAAGGTCGCCACATAACGGAATAACTGATGGTTTATTCCGCTATGTTTTACACAGCAGATGCCCTTCCAGCCACAACCCAGTTTTGGGAAACACTCATACACTGTCGCATTCACACACACACTCATATACTACAGCAAATGTGGTTTATTCAGTTGACCTATAGCGCATGTGTTTGGACTGTGGGGGAAACCGCAGCACCCAGAGGAAACCCACGCCAACATGGGGAGAACATGCAAACTCATTACACTGTGGTGATCTATGAAATAGACACTAAGCTGAAGGAAAATTAATGAAATGAATTTAGTTATTAAACAAACTCGGAATGAACATTTGATTAGCACTACTGAAAAAGTTTCATTGATAGCTGGATAAACCACCAGTTAATCAAATTACTGAACGTCATGTGTGCTTATATGTGCTAGTGGGTGAGGGGATCATAAATCTGGGCTTATTGTTTGTAGAAAGGGTGAAGTAAAGCGTCTTTCATCTGTGACTCTCTTAGATTGGTTACTTTTCCAGTGTTTGCCTATAATAAACATTTACTGTGTTGGTCTACAGAGCAACAGACGGTGGTCTTACTGCCCAGATCCCCTTCAACATCCAAAACATATCTCCCCATCCCGGTAGACAACTTGGAGGAAGAGTATCGGATACGCTCAGCCGATGATGGGAAACTCTTTCGGGAAGAGTACAGTGTGAGTGTATCCTCATTTGTGTATGTGCTTGTAAACATTGATAAAAGGAAGTTGATCGTGGTTCGAGATGACAAATGATTAATATGCTTAAAAACATTTACAAAGAGGTAGCTAGCACATATTACTAACATGATAGCTCATCATTTCACATATATTGCTATGAGCTGTGTCATGTATAAAAATTATAGGATACATGTAGTATATAGTATAGTATAAGTAAAATTATAACGGTCTTGTATGTTATAACTGGTCAAACAATTGATTGCAAACTAGTACTAATTGATTGTAGAATAACCAAGGCTTTCTGTGCATTAAACGATTTTAAATGCACTTTTGTGTCACGTTCTTTGCATCCATGTTGTGCATTTAAAATCCTTTAACACACTACACTATTGATTTACCTATTACATAAATATCTTACTAGGGATTTTTTACACAGACAAATAAAATCTCAACAGCATCAGTCTACTCATTTTAATGTAATGTTAACTAGAGATTCACTGAAAATGTTTTTGTTTTTTTTTGTAGATATTTATTTATTTTTTTATTATTATTTTTTTTTTTATTGTATGCCCATATTCACAAAACATTAACATCAAAATGTATAAACGTATTACAGAGAGTTTACAGTCTGGAGAGTGAAAAGTAACAAAGAAATTCATGTAAAAAACAAATAAATAGGTAAAAAAAAAAAGTACAATTACATCATCTTAGGGCCTACTCACACTATGCCATCCGTACCGTGCCCAGGCCCGTTTCCCGGATCGTTTGAGAAGTGTGAGTGCACTGAATCCGGCTCAAGCACAGTTCACTTGGCCGGCCCTGGCCCGGTTGGAAGAGGTGGGCCTGAGCCCGGTTCACTTGGGCTTTGTAGTGTGAGTGCAAAACGCGCCAAAGCCCGAAACTGAAAGCGAGACATGACTTTAAAAGGGACTGTTGTCCCTTCATATGGACTTATTAATCATTTTAATAAATGATTAATAAACGACAGCTTCACACCTTCAGCAGACCTCCTCATTCCTGCAGCACGAGGGCTTTATGATTGTTTATGAGCGCTAAAAGAGGCGGATCTGTTTGATGAAATATCTGACTGCGTGTCACCACATCCCTAAGGACTGTTTGGCGAAATATTTGACTGCATATCAAACGACTGAAACGATTTAACTAGAGAAATCTCCACTGTGCTGAGCGAGAGCGCATCTCTACTGAACAGCGCAGCATCGATGACGTAAGCGTGCCCAGGCCCGATTGTATGTGAGTGCGGGCCGTCGGGGGAGACGGGAGGGGGGACAAGCGTGCTTTGGCCCGGTTCGAGGCAACTGTACATAGTGTGAGTACGGCCTTAGAATAGTCTTTAAGTGTAGGCTATAACAAAAGAATGTAAATGAATGACAAGGATCCTGTGTCAATTTAAGAGAGCTCTTTTATGTACTCCCAAAGGGGAGACCAAATTGACCAAAATCTGTCAGATTTTTTTATGTTTGTCGTAGGTAAGTTTTTCTAATGGTAGCCATGTAGCAATCTGTGATATCCACATTTTAAAAGAAGGAGCTTGTGATGCAGACCAAAGTAGCAAAATACATTTTTAGCTAAATATACCAAGACAATAAATAATTGGAATCCATCTTTTTCAAACAGATTATTTGCATTATATTCAATAAATACAAAGCTGGGGTCATGTCAAAATTTAGCTTAAGAATATTTTCCAGTACCTCATGTATTTTCTTCCAAAATGGCAAAATTTTGTCACAGTCCTAAAAACAATGAATGAATGTACCTTTATTTTTTTTTACATTAGAAACACAAGTCTGTGGCATTGGCAGACATTTTCTTAATACGTATTGGTGTAAGTTAAATCCTATTAAATAATTTAAAATTAAGCTCATGGATCCCAAGAGAGGTACACTTCGGGTATATATTATCACATACAATTTCCCAGTCATTTTCTTCAATAGTTTGACCAATATTCTTCTCCCAAACATCCTTAAGTCCTAACTAGGCAGAAGTGCAATTGTTAGACAAAATGTCATATATCCTTGTTATTAATGCTTTTAAACAAGTTCAGTAAAAGATATTCAATCTCTGTTGTTTTGCTTCTCAGCTCTCCTTTGTCCAACTTTGGTTTTAAAAAATGTTGTAATTGTAGATGTTTATAAAAATTGGATTTTGGAACGTTATATAGATCTACAATCTGTTGGAAAGATTTGATGGTGCCCTCTGAAAATAAGCAAGATATTTGGGAGATGCCCAGTTCCAGCCATGCTGAAAAAGCGATATTTATTATTTTAATAAACATTATGAAGTAAATTTTTAAGACTTTTAAATGTAACTCATTACGGCAAGTTATATTTACTTTAAAAAGCACAAGGCAATAAAATAATCACATTTTGTTGACGTTGAAATTGTGTCGACAGCGAATGAGCTGATGGAAAAAAAGTCATTTCGCCAGCATTGCCATGACAACACAGTAGTGATATTGCAAGCAGCTGGAACAAGTATACTACATAGAAACTGCTGAGCAGAGTGGCGCTGCATAACCTTTTTCCATTTTTCTCTTTTATCCGAAAAACAAAAGTGTTATTTCAGACAATTTATTTTTTCGATGGCCATAAATTCGGTGCATCATTAATATTAACGCATGACCCAATGATTTTTTTAAGTGCTATTTATTAATGATGAAGTGAATGCCTTTTTATATGACATGGTAGCATGTTTTGCTATTAAAATTAGCATTGGGATTCATAAAATTGCTTCGCTACTACTAAGCTAATGGAGATCAAGTAACACAACAAATATTCCAAAAATAGAGCTATTAGATATGCCCATATCATTTTCACACCTAGGATATTGTTTTTAATATTAAATTTTTTTGAATTTATTAATATTTTTCCATAGTAATATGTTTTTGCTATTATAATTAGGATTGCAGTTCATAAAATTGCTTTGTTATTACTAAGCAAATGGAGATCAACTAATACTCTAATATTCCTAAGATATTTGTGAAGAGGTAGCTAACGCATGTTACTATGAGCTATTAGATATGCCCGCATCATTTTCACAAATAGGATCTTGTTTTTAATATTTGCATTTTAAAAATGTTTTAATATTTTTCTATAATAGCTTATTTTTGCTATTATAATTAGCATTGAGATCCATAAAATTGTTCAGCTAGTACTAAGATATACTGAATTTTCATCGAATCGTGGTGATCTGCCAATTTTAAAAAACACAGAAATAAATACAGAATTCAGTAGCATCTTGAATCGCTGTACAGTAGCTCATTATTATTGTTTGCACTTGTTACGTCACTCAAGTTGCTGAAAGTACTACAAAACAGCGTTTTCCACGGTCTGTTGAAATGCTTGATTCTGATTGGCTGGAAGATGTGTAATAAAATAATTAAATGCACAGGTAGTTCAGGTCACTTTTGATAACAGATCAAAATAAAAGTGCTTCCACAAAACATTAGTAGTAACCATTGCAAATCATAGACAGTTGCTGGTGCCTTTTTTATTTCTGTAATCTTGAGGACACTGGCGTGTGCTGGAAAAGAGAGCTAATGGAGATCAACTAACTTGCTAATATTCCTAAGATTTTTGTGAAGAGGTAGCTAATGCATTATACTATGAACTATTAGATATGCCCTTATCATTTTTACACATAGGATCTTCTTTTTAATGTTTAAATTTAAAGAAATGTTTTAATATTTTATCATAGTAGCATGTTTTTGCTATTATAATTAGCATTGACATCCATAAAATTGTTCTGTTAATACGAAGCTATACTGAATATTCATATAGTCGTGGTGATCTGCCAATTTTAAAAACCGCAGACATAAATGCAAAACTCAGTGGCATCTCTATCCGCTGTACAGTAGCTCATTATTATTGCTTGCACTTGTTACGTCACTCAACTTTCTGGAAGTTCCACAAAACAGCTTATTCCACGGTCTGTTGAAATGCTTGATTCTGATTGACTGAAAGGAGTACAGTAAAATCGTTTAATGCACTGGTAGTTCCAGTCAGTTATGATCACATATCAAAATAAATATGCTTCCACATAAACATTAGTAGTAACCATAGCAAATCATAGACAGTTGCTGGTGCCTTTTTTCTGTAATGTTGAGGACACTGGCATGTGCTGGAAAAGGGAGCTGATGGAAATCAACTCGCTAATATTCCTAAGATATTTGTAAAGAGGTAGCTAATGCATGTTACTATGAGCTATTAGATATGCCCGTATCATTTTTACACATAGGATCTTCTTTTAAATATTTAAATTAAAAAAAAGTTTGAATTTTTTTTCAAAGTAGCATGTTTTTGCTATTATAATTAGCATTGAGATTCATAAAATTGCACTGTTATTACTAAACTAAACTGAATTTTCTTCTAATCGTGTTGATCTGCCAATTTTCAAAAGCGCAAAAATAAATAGAGAACTCAGTGGCTATCCATCCGCTTTACGGTAACTCGTTATTATTGTTTGCACTTGTTATGTCACTCAACTTGCTGAAAGTTTTTGAAATGCTTGATTCTGATTGACTGAGAGGAGTACAGTAAAATCGTTTAATGCACAGGTAGTTCCAGTCAGTTGTGATCACAGATCAAAATAAAAGTGCTTCCATAAAAACATTAGTAGTAACCATAGCAAATCATAGACAGTTGCTGGTGCCTTTTTTCTGTAATCTTGAGGACACCGGCATGTGCTGGAAAAGGGAGCTTATGGAAATCAACTCGCTAATATTCCTAAGATATTTGTGAAGAGGTAGCTAATGCATGTTACTATGAGCTATTAGATATGCCCGTATCATTTTCACACATAGGATCTTCTTTTAAATATTTAAATAAATAAAAAAACGTTTGAATTTTTTTTCAAAGTAGCATGTTTTTGCTATTATAATTAGCATTGAGATTCATAAATTTGCACTGTTATTACTAAACTAAACTGAATTTTCTTCTAATCGTGGTGATCTGCCAATTTTCAAAAGCGCAAAAATAAAT